AATCTGCTGTGGGGAACGCAACCCCCCCCCCATTCCACCTAAGGCAACATGGTGGTGACAGAAAAATTTCAGCCCCCTTGGAAAGGAATGACTAGTGCAATGCCCACACCAGGTCCAAACCAGTCTGATATTTGCCACCTTGAGGGGAAGAAGGGTGGATGCTGCCTAGCTTGCAACGTGGAGAAAGGGCTTCCAACATTGGCACCTGCCCCTTTTAAAGCCTTCCGCACTTATGTTCCCAGGGGATGAGTCAGCGTCGCCATGCTGACCCCCCACCTACCCTTTTTGCAGCTGCTTCTGACCTCCTTCCCCTCACACCCTTCCTCCCGCAAGCCCGGACAATGCCAATGCCCCCCACCCCCATTCCCCGCTTCAGGTATAGTGTGGTTAATTTCATGCAGACTTATTGAATGTAATGTTAAAATTCCATATAGAATTTTTGGCAGATGTGGAATGAATGAGGAGCAAGCAATGATGAATAGCAGCTAGACAGTAGTATTTAAATTAAACTTTAATATTAAATTAGAGACAATGGGCTTGATTTTGATCTTATTTAGACTATTGTAAATTCGGAATAATGTCACTAAAATTAGTAAGGTTAGAACTGTGAAAGTAAGATCATAACCAGGCCTAAAGTGCTTTATTACTATTATAATATTTGCTAAAAGGAGATGAACAGGTTAAAAACCATATGTGGTGTCTTTAACAAAACAAAACAAATTTCCTTATCTGTCATTAGAAACAGAGGAGGTCATCAAAACCAAAAAAGCATTCTAAAAAACTAAGGGTCAAATCATGCTCACATTTCTTATGTGAGTAGTCTTTTGAAAGTCAGTAGAACTATTAGTGTATGCCAGAATTCAGGTGCTAATTCACTTTTCAGTATTTATATTTATTTAGTGTTGACACTTTGTGCAGATTAGTTAATGACAAAAGACTCATGAGTTTCATTTTTGCTGGTAGTATTTGTATAGGAAACCAAAACAATGAGGAGTCCTTCTGGCACCTTAGAGACTAACAAATTTATTTGGGCATAAGCTTTCGGTGCCCCCCAAACCTGAAGCAAATACTCATCAGCAACTACACACCACACAACAGAAACACTAACCCAGGAACCAATCCCTGCAACAAACCCCATTGCCAACTCTGTCTGCATATCTATTCAAGGGACACCATCATAGGACCTACCACATCAGCCACACCATCAAGGGCTCATTCATCTGCACATCTACCAATGTGATATGTGCCATCATGTGCCAGCAATTCCCCTCTTCATGTACATTGGCCAAACTGGACAGTCTCTATGCAAAAGAATAAATGGACACAAATCAGACATCAAGAATTGTAACATTCAAAAACCAGTAGGAGAGCATTTCAGTCTCCCTGGACACTCAATAACAGACTTAAGAGTGGCCATTCTTCAACAAAAAAACTTCTAAAACAGACTTCAATGAAAAATTGCAGAGCTGGAATTAATTTGCAAACCTGACACCATCAAATTAGGCCTGAATAAAGACACGGAGTGGCTGGGTCACTACAAAAAGTAATTTTCCCTCTGTTGATATTCACCCCTTCTTGTCAACTGTTGGGAGTGGGCCACATCCACCCTGATTGAATTGGCCTCGTTAGCACTGACCCCCCACTTGGTAAGGCAACTCCCATCTTCTTTGCTGTATATTTATACCTGCCTACTGTATTTTTCACTCCGTGCATCTGATGAAGTGGGTTATAGCCCATGGAAGCTTAAGCCCAAATAAATGTATTAGTCTCTAAGGTGCCATAAGGACTCCTTGCTAATACAGACTAACACGGTTACCCCTCTGAAACCTGTATAGGAAACAGTACTGAAGAATGTTTAAGGGTCTGACCTTGCAAACAATTAGACTTATGAGTAGTCCCATCAAAGTGACTATTCACGTGAGTAAAATTACACATTGCCAAAAATGCAGGCTCAGTACAACAATCCAACCATTCTCCTCCTCCCATCCAAAACTCTTTATATTTAGATTTTAAAAGATTTTTTCTTAAAATCCTATTTATGTAAAATACTTGCTAACTGAAGCTGAGGTGGGAAGTTTTATAAATGTTCTGTTGAGGGTTGAGCTTTGTTGTGGGCTGTCAGTGAGCAGAGCTGCTAAATTAAGTTGATTTGTTTTTGTAATATATATCAAAATCACTTAAAATGCTAGATAGGCACCTTTTGATGTATATTTTTATAAATCAAACAATAGTTTGTTTTTGTTTTACAATGCCTAAAATCTAGGCCTAATTTTACCTGAGATCCTACTTTTATGTGAAATATACTGAATTTCTCTAAACAGACTAGTCAATAGGTAAAGTAGACATGGAAATATATGGTTTAGTATACCTTAATAGCATGCTTTTGACACTTTGCATGTACTGAATATGTTGAGAGAAGATTACATTTAAGATCAGTTAAAAATGGGAAGAAGTACTCCTAGTGAAACAGAAAAAAGTTTAACTGAATTTAGCATAGTGAGGAGGTTTCCCAATCACATGATGTTGTAGTAGTAGTGAAATGCAGGACAGAATATAGTGTGAAATTATATAGATTACTCGGTAAATTTGCTTAATACTATTATTTTTGGAGCAGAGAGATAATAGAAAAATGGTCCAAATTTCTTGTGCAATACTCATTTATATATAGATAGATAGACAGAGACACACACACAGATAGATAGATAGATACACACACACACACACACACTATGATTATCTGGACATTACAGTAAATTTCATTTCATAACCATTCCAGTATGATGATAGGACTCCTTAAAAAAGGGCAAACACAAAAGGGAAAAGGCACTGACTAAAGTGAAATTCAAAACTGCCTAAAACAAAGCTAAAAAGAAGAGTGGGAAGGTTTATAGACTGATGTAGTAAACCAGAAAAAATGATTCTGTGCTAGTTTGATGTACAATAAAACAAAATAACACTAGCACATTGTGTGAAAAATGAACAGGGTAATGGTACCTCTGTGTAGTGGTGCTGGAAGTTGTCTTCATTTAAACACAGAGTTTGTCTTACCTTGATGGAGAGCTTTGCCACTGCAAAGTTGATAGAGTGGACTTTAACTGAAATTTCTTTGTGAAGCAAAAGTCTCTTTTGGATATGCTTTCTATTTTAACCTCATTTATTGTTGCACCTTGATTATTTTATAGAGTGTTTCACACTATTTTGTCAAAAGCTCTATTATTCAGCTGAGTAAAATGTATTTTTGCCAAAGAAAAGCGGCAATATCTTTGCTAACATTAGAACCTTATGTTTTTATCATTTGGCTTGGGAAAGAATGATTCCAATGGCTTTTGCTCTGTAGATCTCTATTGTGGTGACAGCTGCAGAATGATAGTCCAGACACAAAAACTGTGTTAGGGGAGTGGAGGAATGGAATAGATAAATACACAGATCTTTTACTTCTTTACATTATGTATTAAAACTTGTAACCAGAATTCATAAGCTGTTCCAGCTAGGATGAAAAATGTGAGAATTTGATAGGTTAGGCCAACATTGTTAGCTTAGCCCTTACATAGCAGTCAAAAACACCAATCAGTCTATGAGGAAGGGAAACCAGGACCCAAAAGCAAGAAACCAAAAGACTTGAATGCAACATGTATTCCTTCCTTCTAATTTCCTGTCTCCCCTCTCCTCCCCCCATACCTTTTAAACCACATTTCATAGTAATGTCCGCTCTTAAGTGGCTATAGTAATTTAACTGGTAGTCTAAATGGTTATCTAGATCCTTGCAGTTTTGTGGGGTTTTTTTGTTTTTATTTATTTTATTTTATTTAGTTTGAAGATTTTTGGTTGGGTGTTTGTGTATGTGATGGAGCAGGGAGTGGGGAGTATTGACCTGGGAATGTTGCGTGGGAGTTGTATTGAGACTGTCTGCATTGGTGATGGGATACCAGGGTGAGGATACCTGAGCATGTAACCTGAGCCCAGGAGGGGGGTTGGGGCCAGGGGACACCTTTTGCCTGGGAAACTGGACAAAGACTGGGGGAGGAGCCGGGGGCGGTGGCTGGAGGAGACTGCTGGAAGGGTTTTAGTTTGGAGCTGGCTGGAAAACAGAGGGAACCCCAAAGCTGAGGGATGAGCTCCAATTTTGGGGGCCCCTTCCATAAAAAAAAGTTGCAATACTATAGAATACTATATTCTTGGGGGGGGCCCTGCGGGGCCTGGGGCAAATTGCCCCACTTGCCCCCCCCCCCCCCCCCCCCCCCCCGGCAGCCCTGGGTCCTGGTTGTACCTACAAACTCTGTTTGGGACTGTGTTCCTGTCGTCTAATAAATCTTCCGTTTTACTGGCTGGCTGAGAGTCACTGTGAATCGCAGGAATTGGGAGTGCAGGGCTCTGACTCCCCCACACTCTGTGTCAGTGTACCAGTGGCCCCAGAGAGGATTCAGGTTGTCCCATCACAGTTTACATGCTCAGGCCCCAATTTGGTGACAGCAATCTGGAAAATAATCCCTACTACTGGTGTAGTTATCTTCTTAAATCAACTAATTTTAGCAGCACCATTGTGAAGCACATTATTGTCTCCATTGTACAGAGTATTGAGAGTACTGAGAAACAATGATTAAATGGCCAGTTGAAAGCCTCACATAAAATCAGTAGTAGAGTCAGGATTGGAAGTCAGCATTTCCTTGTTCTCAGCCTAGTGATTTAGTTCTAAAATTCTCATAGCTCTTTACCTTTTAATATACAGTTACTCCATATGACTTTGAGTGCATGCTTTTGCAAGTGTACATGTAGAGTGTTTCACTGATGGATCATTTGAGTACAGTACAACACTTGTTATGTTTAGCCTGCCACAAGTGGTCCTTTTCTCCTAGGCAAAAATGTCATATTATATATACACACAGAAAAAGAGAGAGAGAGAGATGGTTCATATTTCTATAATACAAATCAATATAACATGCATTAAGCAAACATTTCAAAAAGAAAATAAATTTAAATTTATCCTATTTGTATTTCAACAGCTCACGGCCAGGAAGACCCCCCAAGCGCTCTCTGGGAGTTGCAATACAAGAAAATGCACGTCTTCTGCCCCATGGAGTCCCAGGCCTGTTATCACCAGGACTTATCTCCCCGACAGGTAATAAAATCCATCAGATGTTCAGCCTGGTCTCTTCATACTGCACAGCAGTTGAAATAAACTAATATTGATCCAAATGCCATGTCCTTCAGGGCTTTTCAGCTTTACCAGAGGTTACATTATTGGATTTTTTGAGTATTCATGAAAACTGTGTTTTGTTGCTGCAGTGACTAAAATCTAATGGATTTGTAGTTTAGTTCTTTATTAATTGTAATTTCCTTACAGGAAATTCCATTAAATACATTATTTTATTATGAAAAAACCCCTCAGAGAAAATTAGCCATTGCCTTAAAGTGTGGGTTTCTTCCTTTCTGGTGCATGTGTCTTTTAGTTCTCATGGGATATAAACAGGGTGGCTAATATGTATGCTATAAAATGATTAGTGTAGGTTAGGAAGACATAAAACTGGTCACACTAACTATGGAAGACGTGGTTCTCAAAAGGATGAATAAAACCAAATGCAGATGGTCATGATGTTCTGTATTCGTTCTCAATTTAGTGTCACAATGTAACTGTTGACTATAAATACACCTAAAATAGTCCATCATTAACAGTGTTTTGCTGCTATTCAGTAACTTAAGGCAATGTAAATTAAAAGCAAAGAGAATTTAAACTTCAGTGAAGCTTCTTGTTACCATTGCCACCAACTGATGGTGTAATGTGCATATGTTTATTTGATAAGAAGGTCAACAATCCACAACTTAATTAACATACAGTAAAATGTTCTACTTAAATATTCAACAGGCCTAGCAATCATAAGGGAGTGCTTAGAGCATGGTAACTTAGGCCTTGATCCTGCAACTTCTCACACATGGGTGGACTGCTGCACTGTCCCATTGAGCTCAGTTGGACATGGACACAGCGGTCCACCCACATACAAGAAGTTCCAGGATCAGGGCCTTAAATCTCCCTATGTCCCATTGTGCAGTAAGTGAGAAATTAATGAAGAATTTCAGTTCTCTTGACCCACTGGGTCGATAAAGCACCATCATGGAAGCAGGAGTGATCGTTCTTAAGCAATATTAATATTAATAATTGCTTCAAACGTACTCAAAGTTGAAAGCATTTTGCTGTATTCAACCCCCACCCCAGTTCAGTTGGTCCCCGTCTATTATCTAATAATAATAATGTGTAATTAATAATTCATTTGTACTGTAGTGAAGTTCTGAAGACTGATTTTCATAAACACATTTTTTATTAGAATTTTTAAAACAGTATCTAGTGTTCCCAGACCAAGGGTTTTCATATAGTCTGTGTTTTATTTGTTCTCCACTGGTGATAAGAGGCAACCAGTGTTGATAAATTGTTGGCAAAAGTACACAGCATAGCCCATTGCTTGACAGCGTGTTTGCAAATAGGGCCTAAAGCTATGCAAAAGGCATATTGGATTAAAGTGGTAATGTTTTAGGACCCCAGGGTGCATTGTGTGCATAGTAAAATAGTATTCAAGTGGCTCAGTGTGGTCCTGTGTCGGGGTGGTCAAAATTTTTGTCCTGAGGGCCACATCTGGGTATGGAAATTGTATGGCGGGCCATGAATGCTCACGAAATTGTGGGTTGGGGTGGGGCAGGGGGTGAGGGCTCTGGATGAGGGTGTGGGTTCTGAGGTGGAGCCAGGAAATTACGAGTTCAGGGTGCAGGAGGGGGCTCTGGGCTGGGGTAGGGAGTTGGGATCCAGGAGGAGGTGAGGGCTCCGGCTGGAGGTGTGGGCTCTGGGGTGGGGCCAGGAATGAGGGGTGTGAGGTGTAGGAGGGGTCTGTGGGCTGGAGCAGAGGGGTTTGTAGCACTGGGGTGTTGGAGGGGGTACAGGCTCTGGGCTGGGGGTGCAAGTTCCAGGCTGGGGCCAGAATGAGGGGCTCAGGGTGCGGGAGGGGGCTCTGGACTGGGGCAGGGGGTTGGGGAGCGGGGGGAAAGGGCTCCAGCTGGTGGTGGGGCTGGGGATGAGGGATTTGGGGTGCAGAAGGGTGCTCTGGGCTGGGATCGAGAGGCTCGCAGGGTGGAAGGGGGATCAGAGCTGGGGAAGAGGGTTGGGCTGTGGGAGAGGGTCAGTGGTGCAAGCTTGGGGCAGTACTTACTTCAAGCAGCTCCCGGAAACAGCGGCATGTCCCCCCTCCACCTCCTACGCATAAGGGCAGCCAGGGGGTTCTGTGTGCTGTCCCATCCGCAGGCACCACCCCTGCAACTTCCATTGTCCATAGTTCCCAGCCAATGGGAGCTGTGAAGCCAGCACTTGGGGCAGGGGAAGCGTGCAGAACCCACTGGCTGCCCCTATGTGTAGATGCCAGAGTGGGGACATGCCACTGCTTCCGGGAGCCACGGCATGTGCAGAGCAGGGCATGCCCCCGACCCTGCTCGACAGCGGGCGCTCAAGGGCCGGATTAAAAGGTCTGACGACCCGTAGTTTGCCCACCCCTGTCCTATATGCTACTCTGCCCACAGAAAGTAGGAAAACATGCTTTAAAATTAAAAATCGGAAAATCAAATAAAAAAGGTTAAGCTTCAAATTACTAGACTGTCCTTTGGAAAAAGCTGAAGATGTTTAACCAAATACCAAAGTAAATTTTTAAAACTATTTCTGCTGACATATTGCTCAGAATGAAGAGGGATTGTGAGGGCTGATAAAAGTCCTTTGGAGACTCAAATGAGAATCTGTATTGTCACAGCACTCCCCACATTCTTTGCACTACAGGAAAGTGCTATGAAACCAGACAATGGTACAGGAGGACTCCAAGGGAAAGTTGGATCCATGAGAGTTTCTCCTTTAGCTAACGGAAGCTGAAACAGTGCAGCTGGATATTACTGAAGCTTTAATTACTTGAAGCAGCTGCATCTTATTTTCCTCCTCTCCCCCCCCCCCCCAAAAAAAAACTTTCTGTCAAAGAAGGAAGAGATGTGGCAGTCTTTGAGGAAGGAAAGAAAGGTGCTACAAGAGCCCTTTCCACACTTGCTGGGGATCTGAGGTATGGACCTGGAATGGCTTCAGGACTCTGACAATTGCCCCCCCCCCTTTTTTTTTAAGCTAAACTAAAAACTTAAACAATTCATTTTACTGCTTCTCAAAGGAGGTGGGATGATTATAAGGCTAGGGTGATGTGTAGTAAAGTTGAACCAGGGAGTGATCACAGAGGTATTTACCCATTGTCTCCTGGTCACAGGTCAGTTTGGGTAATTATGTTCTCATACTTACCATTATTTGTTGTTTAGTTTGGGCTATCCTTTCTGTAAGTAGTGATAGTCCTGGCCGGTGTCCTACAGGAGTTTTTTCCCCCCCTAAAACAATGTCAGCTTTCTGCCACATGGGAAGTAGAAGCACTTTCTCCTGTTTGCTGGGCCAGCTAGCCGCACTTAACAGGCATCAGGAGGAGTGGAGAACAGCCCAGCCTGTGAGAGTGACTGGGGAGAGAGTGCAGCAATTTGGCATAGCCTTGGGAGAACCCACTCCTTCCATTGACTGGGAAATGGTGTGGGGAGGATTTTTTCCTTACATCTCAGTGCTTCTTCAGTCTTCTCTGTCTCTATACATGCAATGCAGTTTTCCTCTCTAGGTCTCCTTTTCTGGGCCTCCTCAGGCCTACATCTCCACTGAACTCTCTCCCCTTAAAGAACCCAGCCTCTGATCTTGTCACATCTTGGTGGAGCAAGCACATAAAGATGGTTATGTAAATCTGCCTTCATGCTTCAAATGGGAAATTTCAAACTCATTATGTTTGCGTAGCTTTGAAATTTTCCACAGTCAGTTTGTCTCTCTCCAACATATCATCCTAGTTGGTAACTGCTCACTCAAACTCAGCATGGCAAAAACTGAATTCCTCATCAACAATGACATGATTCATACCTTCCTTTTGTTCACGTTAGTCCCATCCCTCTTTTAGTGATCTATCAATTCACAGCAGTTCACCTTCAGCCATTCTGCTGGGTGCATAAATGGGTCCCAAGGAGCTGCTTCTATGAGTTGGGGAGTAAACTGATCAGTCTGGAGAGTCACAGTCAGCAACTTTCTCAAGACTTGAGTCAGCCATCTCATTTCGCTTCTTGTAATACATGCTGCTATTTTCATCACCTATTTGGCTTGTAGCAGCTCAGGTACACATCGTCGTTTTCATGCAATAAACAAGCAGTTAAATTAGGCATACTGTACTTCCCAGCTTTGACTTTTTGGCTGCAAGTGCTTGGGTAGAAAACTCAATACCTTGTTTAATTTCTTGTTGATTTATTAAAAGTTTAACTGTAAATAGAATAGTTTCATTTTATAAATATATTAGTAGATAATGAATACCAACTAGCACCTTGGAGTATTAAATCAATAAAGTAGGTGCTATCGGAATACTGTAAGTTTAAGTGTTGCCTTGCTTCCAATTACTATATTAAACTGTAGCTTCTTATTGTTTCTGTAGGCATAGGAAAAAATGTCAAGAATAATTTGTCTCTGGTCTTTCCAGCAATTTAATTTAGGTTCTATATGTTAGAGAACTAAATGTGAGGTTTGCCAACACAACCAGTGCCCACCTGCCTTTTATTAATCACAGTTTCTCTCCCCATTTCCAACCATACGTGGTCCCAAAGCTGCTTCCAAGCTGCAGTTGAGCAGCCGGCTTTGGCCTAGCAGAGAAGCGGCAAGACTTGCTGTGAAGGCCTGCAGAGCTGAGGGGTGAGGGGGAGTGAGAGCATGCTTATTGAGAGATGCAGCCAAGACAGAGTAGGGCCTGTTGCCAAAAGAAAGGGCTCTGCTTCATGGAGGTCAACAGCAATGTGTGGCATTGGCTCAAATGTTTGAAATTCAGATCAACTTAGAAAATTCTGGTGTTTATTCAAACTAGAAAAATATACAAGCCACCAAATCTTTAGAAGCTCCTCTGTTCTTATTGTGAAGCTGAGCAGATTGGATTCTTAGAGGAAGTAGCTTGTAAGCACACCCTCCTGGTCAATTTACAGTACCTGTTGACTCATTTCACCACCTAAAGTAGCTGGATATAGGGCGACCATGTCTGATGGCTGCTGTCA